CCCCGCTGCTCGTTCTGCTGCCACGTCCCCGTGGGTAATCCCGACTTGGGTGCCAAACGACGGGGACGCCACGGAGCACCAGTAAAGTAGGAATGTTTTATTTAACAATGAAGCATCGCAGGTGTTGTTGAGAACAGTGTAACAAAAGAACAGCCCTGCACGGCGTCTTGAGGTTTTTTTAAAAAAAATCTACCACGTCAAGAGGAGCATTTGGATCAAGTTCACATGAGCTCCTTAAGTTGGTTTTTTAAAAAAAAGTCTCATATTTACTCTTGAAAGTAAATACACTGAACTAAGAAAGGTTGGCCGTGGGTAGGTGTATATACAGACATGTTAGACAGTGCCACTACAATGACAGTCACACTTACCTGATTTTCATTAACGCCTGTAGCCATACCATGAGCTCTGGGCTTGTACACGTTACTAGCATCACTAACAAAGAACAAAGATTTCAAGTAATCCTCCACTGATCTCTAGTTGATTTATTGTATGATGGAAAATCCTATTTGTACCCGGTCGCTGCAAGGAACAGAACACTACGCTGTATCTGTTAAGTCTTTCTTGCAAATAGTGCAAAGAATTCTCCATATGTATTCATAAACCTGTTAAAACATCAGCAGTCGATACCATTACACCTTTTTACTGCAGAAATGAAAAAAAAAAAAGATTATAGTTCTTGCTTTTAGACAATTAAAATGAAGACAGCAATCTTTTCGTAGTGAGTTAATAAAATTTCCTAAACTAAATTCCAGAGAAGCTGTACATAAAGTTATTTAGTGCTAAAAATCTACAATACATTTTTTCTTCAAGTATAAGATACTGAAATATTATTGCCAATAAATAGTTGTGCTGTAGTCAAAGCCACGGTTCCTTTGTTGTATCATTCACATCTCAACATGTTAGGATTTAGTTTCTCACTGAGTTTATGGATTAAAATTGCCAATTCTTCTGTTGCTTGGGATTTATCCTCCAAAAGTTCGTAGCGAAGACTGGAGATGTCCTGTTTGATTTCCTTTAATTCACCTGTGGAAAAAAAACACTTGTTAGCCAAGTTTAGCACTCAATATTCAAGTTTAACAACCAATACTCTTCTGTTAAGTCACATCAGTGCCTGTTTCAGATTATTATCCCAACATATTCACGAGAGCAGACACAGGATGGGGCAGGAAGCTTTCCCTCTTCTTCATTCTCCATGAGGTGTGTTTCTCCACCCCTAGATAGCACCAAAGGTATTTTAACAGTCCATTGAACACTGATGTTATGCTCCAGGTGTATAAACAAAGATTCACCCAGTGCTGTACATAGGTTAATGAATTAATCACACTGCTCAGTAGCTGGTAAATATTAGTATCCTCTTTGTAGAGAGAAAAGGCAAAGATTTTTTTTTTGAAGGGATGTGTCAAGATCACACAGGAAAAGTGTGGCAGAGCCGGCAGTAAAACTCACAGCTTCTGAGTCTCTCTCCTCTTCCTTACCAACATCCTTGGAATTAGAAAAAGTCAACCAATTTAGAATTCTGTTACAATTTGACACGTAAAGAAAAAATGCATTTAAATGAAAACTGTCAGGGCCAAGCTCCTAACAAGCAGCAGCATGTTTTCCATGAGAGGATGTTCAGTTCAAGAGCAGAAGCTTTTTAGGACATTCAAATACTGTTCCTGCCACAAGTGTGAGGGGTGTGAATCCTTACACAGTATCTGTCAGAGGAAATGGTTTGTCATGTCTGAAATAAAAAGCTAAGAAAAAAGCACCTAAGTTCTCTAGTCATGCAAAACAGGGAAACCCCCCTAGACTTTTGTTAAAATAGTTATAGTATCTAGAAATTGAAAGTTTTCTATTTAGGCTATGTCAGACTTCAAAAACAGTCCTCAAAGGCTGGATCAGTGCTTTAGGTACCAATGAGATGCTCCTGACAGAGTACTAGCTCTGCTGTGTAGCTGAAGAGTGTTCAGGGGTTAGTTGCCTTGCTCAAAATGCACTTTCCTCTGTAAAAACTGATGACAAAGCAAGATGTCAGTAAACCTTGATTCTTCTTCACTCTCTTGCTTCCCTAAACACACATATACCAACACCAAAGTGGCATCAGGGACCTGGAAAGACCTGTATGTCCCTGGCACCATTGGTGAAAGAACAGTCTTTTCATCAGTCACTAGGTAGGTGATTTCCACATCACAGAGCAGGGACAGGAGGGAAAAGATGGGAATTCAGGAGAGGATACACTGTGAAGACACTTTCAGGAGCCTCTCTGCTTTTGTCACTCTCAATCTCAGCTCTGAACAGCCACACAGGATGGGGAAGTGTCAGGATAACAGTCATTGCACAGTGCTGCCTTTTGAAGGCACAGAGTAGCATTTAATTTAGTCTTTTTTGCTCCCTGCTTCTCGCTGCAGAGAGTTAGGGGCAAGCAGAGAGTAACTAAGGAAAACACAAGCTATGATGCCTTAGCTGAGAGAGCAGCCCATTCAGACCACTCACATCCCCCCCACACACAGCTTCCTGATGCTTCCATGTCAGTAAAAGCTCTTCTGATCCCAAATTATCCATCACTGGATCACTCTATTGCCTGATAATATTTCAGCTAGAGTGCAGAGTAATCACACCCCATGTTGTACACTCCTCTGTTATTTTGTTTGGGGAGCTGCCCAGAGCACAAGAGTTTTACACACTCAGAGAACACATCCCTCACAGCTACCAGGGAAGTTCCACACTGTCAGCAAACACCAAGCTCAGATCAATTGTTTCTCAAAAGGTCTCCAGTCACACACTCAAATAGTGGCTAGAGCTGTCATTTTTCTCACCATGCAACTAACTATGGAGCTTTGTTTCACTATGTGCAGCCTCACAGGTGAAGTAGAAAGAAACCCTCTTTTTACTCCAAACCTCCATGCATCACTGCGATACCAATTCCTAACACAACATGACAAAAATCATCTCTAAATACTCCAAAGAGAATCTCTTTCTTACCTTCATTTACTTCGTCATTTTCTTTGTCCACTTGTGCTTTCAGAACATAACGTTTTATCAGTCTTTTCATGATTTGCTGCCAGATTAAAACAGTTACAGAATCAGGTGAGCACATATAATTAAACACCATTCACTTTTCTTCATTCGCTATCTCTGTCACGTCTGTGTAAGTGAAAGAATGAACAGATCCAGCAGTTGCCTTGCATGGGCTTTTCTGCATGCTGAGAAGGAAGGGAACTAGTCAACCAGCTCAACTTTCACATCCCTTGTCCAGAAACCAGCTGCAGATATTTGCTTCTCACGCTTTCTAAACTGGGACATCAAAGACAAACTTCAAGACTTGCATAAGCTAGTTTTGAAATGCTTCAGATAACAGGGCTTGAATAATCTCTCTTTTTCCACTAGCATCCTAGAGTTTGATTTCTACAGGAGGTTTTCTTTATCTGGTGAGGACAAAATGTACTTGCAACACAAAACTCTGCTAGCACCTTCACACAGTTCTCTCACTCAAAACAGTGACCCCTGCATGTACTTACCTGATAGCGTGTTGGCTGATTGAGGATGCTGTTAAAACTGTGTGATTCAAAAACTCTGGAGTTGGACTGAGTGAAAAGGTTTAACTAAGAAGAAATAAGACAATTAAAACATGAAATTCACAATTAGAATTCAGCTCTATTATTTTTTTCTTTAGACATGTTGGAGATGTTTTCATAGTCACTATATCAAAATACTGTTTAAAAAAAATGAGACTGCCTTGAATTATTTGTTTGTTTTTGGTTTGGGTGTTTTTTAAACACTGATAATTTTAGCTGTCCTGTTCTGAGGAAACTGTGAATTATGGTTTGGAGGCAGAAATGAGTGGCCAGAGCAAGGAGAGACCCTTTACAGTGCCTTTAACAAAGAGCTGTTGTGGATCTGCACTCCTAAGCACACTTTTCACTACAAATACATGCCCAAAAGCTGTTCTGCTTAGTTGAAAGGACTTTTCCAAAGAACCATTTCCAGGAATAGTAATACATTTTAAAAAATGGTCATTGTTCAGTTGTTCCAGGATCACAAAGCCATTTGATCCCAAATAATTTAAGAGGTTTGTAGCAGTGGGCTAGAAACAAGAGAAATAAAAGCCCCCTTGGCTTTGTGACCAGCGCAGAAGGTTTGTTACTATCAAATCAGGGACTTTACCCTTCTCTCAGATGTACTGGTGAGGGAAGTAAAAAAAAAGGCGTATATAGAGAGGAAGGTTCAACTCCCTAGTCTGTATATGTCATGGATTTTTTGTATGGCCAAACAGAAGTCACCGAATCAGTGACATTTCTGTTAGTTTACAGTAAAACAAATACACATTATTTTCAAAGGATTGCTTTAATACACAGAGCCTTGAGCCTAACTAATAAATAAAGCCATATACATCCTCTTTAACTCATCTGTGCCCCAGTTTGGCACCAGTAAAACAAAGAGAATGGTTATCTAAAACTCATGCACATTCAGAACATTTAGACACCCAAATTTAGAGTGTCATGGAAATGCTGAAGATTATTATTACCAATCCCTCCTCTTTCCAGTTGCCTTCTGCTGGGAATGAGCTTTGGAAGTTTGTTCACTTTGGAAGTGAATTATCACATGGACAACATTTTTCCTTTCATTAGAACAGGAAAAGGCTATTTTTCTCTCCTTAAACCTCCCCCCCTTTTTTTTTTACTAAAAATCTCTCTAATGGAGGCTGAAAGCATCTTTATTCCATATTAAGTAACTCCTTGTGGTAATTATTTGCATCTTTCGAACGCTCAGTAATTTTTGTTTTAATTGTGTTTTGGTTTTTTTTTTCCCCAGCCATTAGATGTGGCTGTCCTAAGAAAATTTATAGCTGTATTTTGGTTTTATGCAGTCCAATTAGGCAGTCTGAAGTACAGATCTATTAACATAAATGATTCATTACTGCACAGATTATAGCAAGAGAAGCAGAATGCTGTAATGGACACACAGTTCTTCACTGCAATGAAAATGTTTCAGTACCTACCCTAGATTTGGAATTGCCCATTCCCATCTCAATATCTTTCTGCAGCCTTCTCCTCCTGCACTTAGAAAAGTTAATGATCCTCATGATGAAATAGAAAAAAGATTTGGGGCTTGGTACAAGACTGAATGGTGGAGGTAATGTTTTTCCATCATCAAAATAGGATAACCACAGTTTAGAACGAGCAAACTTCCACTCTACATCACTGTCATCCTGTGTGGAGAAATAAAAACAGCTATGTGCTTGGGTTTTAGGAAATGCAAAACTTCTCTCAAATAAAACTTCTTTTCAATATTGAGCCTTTCTGGTTTTACCTAAAATGTTATTTGCTTGCTGGTAAAACTTCCAGTGGTGCTGCAAAAATGCAACCACTTTATTGAGTCTATTTTAACCAAATCTCACTTGTCTATGGCAACAGTTCATTGATAATACTCGAAGCATGCGAAGCATTTAGGCAAGCAGTACTTTTGCACTCAGCAAAAGCCAATACAAACTCCTTGCTATTTAAAGTGGAACTACTGGGGGTTTATAAAGCCTTGTTTTTCTTATTGAAGTGGTCACATGAATTTACTTCTCGCACAAGTGCTGAAGTATTAGATTCAAGGCAGACATGGCTTAAAATGGTAGTGCTCAGAGCTTTTACATAACCATGGAAAGCAACTCTGATTTACAGTGGAGTCCAGGAAATACAAACTGCATTGTCATGAAGAAATCATGTTAAATACTGACAAAGTTATTTTGCCCTAATACATCCATACTAAAGTATTCCAAGGCTGGACCTGGATTATTCCAAAGGTGA